CCCCAAAACCCCAAAACCCCAAAACCCCAAAACCCCAAAACCCCAAAACCCCAAAACCCCTCTTTTGCTGATAAAGATTGACCAAAGGATAAATTATTATAAAGTTTAGAATACCAATGGACATGGACAAGTGAAGAAAGCAGCAGATGGCTATATACAGGGAGGAATGCATCCTTGAAGATAGAGTGGCTAACTCTCTTAAAACCACATTCAAAAAGAACAACACCATTACTGGAGATAACAGAATGAAGCTCAAAGTCGGACAAGAGAGTGACAGAAAGATACTGAAACGTCTCCGGAAATTTAGGCTTCATTCCTTAAAAGGTCTTTACCTGATGGATGTAAAGAAAGATACCCGTATTATCAAACAGTTCTTGGCAGAATGAGTCCCTCACCATAAGATAGAGGAGTTTTATTTTTCAAGACCTGATATCTTCTTTGGAAGGGTCTATCACTTCTCTCAGGAGTTATCAAGAATCGCTAATTTCACGACGTGTGTCTTCCACATTATGAATTTTAAAGTATCCCTTCCAATATTTTCAAGGCTTTTGGTATCAGGAAGAGAATGCAGGCAAAAAGTTGAATTTAACAACTGCAGGATCCTGAAGAGTAAAGCCATTGCATTCGGGTCGTCTTTTGAAAAGGCTAAGTTGACTTATCTAGGCCTTCCTGGATGTGGATCTTGGAACTGAGGAGACTGGAAGACTGATCCAAAGATCCTGTACACACTACTAGATTCTCTGTGTAGTTCAGAGTATCTTAAACAATCTCTATCAGGGTTAAACATAACTCCTGTAGACTACAACAAGGCTATGGTGAAGTATTACCTGACCACCAAAGGATTCCAGCAGATGTATTAAGGCTACACTTAAATTGTTTTCGATAAGCCTAGAATTTACTTATTCTTGTTTTAGCACGCCTAGCGTTGGAAATTAAACCAGAAACATATCTGTAGGATGAGAGTGCGTTATTCTGTACCTCCATCCTTTGTAGTAGCAACCTGAGCATGCATATTTTATTATATAATGATTTCAAAATATGGCCTCAGACACGGGGTTTTGGGGTTTTGGGGTTTTGGGGTTTTGGGG